TACTTTTTATGACAAATATTTTTAGATCTTCTTTTCTGGAGTAAAACTCAGGCTAATAGAATTTACATGTGTAATCAATTTTAAAAATATCAACATAATGCTCTATCTGTAATACAAAAGGAATTGCAAGCAGAAAGTAGAAGTGCTACTTGACTTACCATGGGGTTATGTCCTAATAAGCCCATCACAAGTTAATATGCCTAACCTACTGAACATCACAGCTTAGCAACCCAGTACACTGCTGAGAATGGACTATTGCCCCTTGTGATCACATGACTAGCAGCTGTGGCTTACTGCCCCCACATTGTACTATATATCACTACCCCATGAAATTAAAAAATTCAAGTTTCTTTCCTTTCTTATTTACTTTCTGTAAATAAGATAGAACCCAGGGCCTCACAAATGGTAGGCATGCATTGTACCACTGAACTATATTCCCAACCCTCAAAGTACACTTTCTACTGAATTCATATCACTTTCACACTATTAAGTTAAAAGTTAAAAAAAAAAATCCAAGGTCAAACCATTGTAAGCTGACAACCACCTGTAAAAATAAAATATTTTCTAACTCTGTTCACATCTGTTCTCTGGTACATTAGAGGACATCAGGAAATAGTATGTGCTTGCTTTCATTTACAAAATCTCTATGAATGGGGCAACTACATATGAAGATTGATATATTTGTATTCCATTGGCTACATAAATGCTATAAGATGCTCTAAACAGGGTTTCTATCAATGACATAATTTCTAAGTCATTAGGAGCATTGGAGCTACTCAAGTATGAAAAAACAGTTGGGATTACTTTCTATTTAAAGGCATTTTCAATCCTGGAAAACCCAGTCTATATTAGAAGCTTGTGGAAATATGATGTATCCATGTGTAAGATGAAGTCAGGTTTAGATTTGGAAATAATAATAGATCTTTCACTTTTTTCAGCAAATATGTTTATGAGCTTATTATGTGTCTGGCACTGGCTTAGCCTTTGGAGACAGATCTTAATACTTATCAAGAAGAATTAATTTAGTTTAACTACATTACTGCATGACTTTGCCTCTTTGCTCAAAATGTTACCTTCCAATGAGGCTTTTCCCCACCATGCTATTTAAAATTTTAGCAATCATCACATATTCCACATTCTCATTCCCTGCTCTAATTTTCCCCGTATCATTTATCATATCCTGATTTTATCTCATTTTTTCTCTTTTCATTTCTTACTTATTGTCTGTCTCCCCTACTAAAATATAAGGTCCATGAACATATGTTTCTGTCTGTATTGTTTTTCTGATGTATTCCCAGCAATACAACCGTGACTGGCTCACTCTGGGTGCTCAATACTTAATTTTAAAAATAAACAAATGAGCTGGGTGCAGTGGCACATCCCTGTAATCCCAATGACTCCATACGCTGAAAGTTTAAGGCCAGTCTCAACAACTTAGTGAGGCACTTAGCAACTCAGAGAGACCCTGTCTCAAAATGAAAAATAAAAAAGGGCTGGGAATGTAGCTCAGTGGTAAAGCATCCCTGTATTCAATCCACAGTACAAAAAAACAAAACAAACAACAACAACAAAAACAACAAATCAAAAAACAAATGCAAAGATTTTACATAGGACTGGGGTTGTAGCTCAGTGGTAGAGTGCTTGCCTAGCATGTGTGAGGCACCGGGTTCAATTCTCAGCACCACATATAAATAAATAAAATATAGACCTACTGCCAACTAAAAAACAAAGACTTTATATAAATGATAATTATTATCCCCAAGACAAGGTTACCCTGGGTTTCCACAGAACCTTGATCCTGCTATTGTAATTCCTTTCCCATTGAGATGGGGGATCCTAAAGGTCAAGGACAGAGAGGTCTTTGCAGTGAGTGTTCCTGGAGAACCTGCCTGGGACAGGGGACAAGAACCAAATGGGATGAGACTGGAGGTGGCAGGATGAGTGTGGGGTAGAGGGACTCAGTCCAGTGTCTTCCCTACCCAGTGCACTCCCTGGAGGAGGAATGCCTGCTGTTCTGTGAACACGAGCCAGGAGCTGCACAAGGACACCTCCCACCTGTACAACTTTAACTGGGATCACTGTGGTAAGATGGAGCCTGCCTGCAAGAGACACTTCATCCAGGACAACTGTCTATATGAGTGCTCGCCCAACCTGGGGCCCTGGATCCAGCAGGTACAGGTTTCTCCCTTACCCTACTCCAGTAGGCTTCCTGCCCTCTGGCTCAGTTCCTTCAAGTCTGTGGCTATCATCATCCCTGGCTAAGAGGAGCCCTCCTTTCCCACTCAGGTGGACCAGAGCTGGCGCAAAGAGAGGTTCCTGAATGTGCCTTTATGCAAAGAGGACTGTCAGAACTGGTGGGACGACTGTCGCACATCCTTTACCTGCAAGAGTAACTGGCACAAGGGCTGGGACTGGACCTCAGGTGAGGGCCTGTAGGTGGGGAGATGGAGGTAGGGTTTGGAAAGGGGGATGTTGAGGAATGAGGGTTGGGTAAGGATTTCTGGGATGACAGAAATGAGATTTGGGTCCAGAGTTGGCTGACTGTGTTCACCATGTCTATGACTGCAGGAGTTAATAAGTGCCCAGTTGGGGCTGTCTGCCGCACATTTGAGAGCTACTTTCCCACACCAGCTGCCCTTTGTGAAGGTCTCTGGAGTCACTCATACAAGGTCAGCAACTATAGCCGAGGGAGTGGCCGCTGCATCCAGATGTGGTTTGACCCAGACCAAGGCAACCCTAATGAGGAGGTGGCTAGGTTCTATGCTGCAGCCATGAATGCTGAGGCCATGCCCCATGGAATGGGTCTTCACCTGCTCAGCCTGGCCCTGATACTGCCACTCTGGCTCCTCGTCTGAGTCCACTCTTCTCCATACCACCCTCTGTCTGCTCCCAGCTTGGATGACCAGGCTGAGCTCCCCTCAGCTTCCACAAAAGAGATCCCTAAACCTGCTTCTATCTATTACCCACTCTTCTGCTACCCAGTTCCTCCTCCATGATAGGGCTTTGGGTTCTTCCAACAGTCAGTTCTAATAAATTAGTGACATATTTGTGTGTGATGTATTATTTTAGCTATGAGTTGGTGAGTAGTGGGTGAGGGACAGATTCCATAGCTTTTGTATTTTAATACAATTAGACTTGTATTTTAATCTCAGCTCTACCATTCACTATGTAAAATTCAAATGCTTGAAAACCTTAGTTTCCTCAATAAAATGGAGATAATATTCCTTCCCTTGGGCTTGTGAAATGTAAAGGAGTTGTTGCCTGGAAAGCACGTTTTCCCAGTGAGTGCAATCAGTAGTCCTCAGGGATTCTATTGCTCCTGTGGCCCTAAATGAGAGTCAGGTCCAGGTCTTCTTATTTATATTGGTTCCCAAACATTCCCCCTCCCCAGTGCTTGTCTGCCTGACTTTGCTCAGCTCTGCAATGGGAAAGCTGAAAGTGGGAATCCAGGGGGAAAAGTTCACACTGCCTAACATGTGGACTAAGAGCAGAGCTGGAGTTTGGGACCCTCAGAGGAGGAAGTGGTGATTAGGAAAGACAATCTGGGAGATTTCTGAAGAGGAAATACTCAAAAGACTGGAACTGGCCCTGTGCTGTGTCCTGGTGGTGTGTCTAGAAGAGGATTAGAAACTCTGAGGATCTTCCCAGAGGCAAGAGCCAGGCCTCTCTTCTCTGGTACTTTGTCCCTTCCCAGCATCGGTAGATATGCTGGTCTTGGAGGGTTGTTCTGTCTTTGCACAGCACTCAGGAGCTGGGCCTGAGCCTATTTCTGGGTTTCTCGCTTTCCAGTTCTCCTTGAGAAAGTCTTTATCTACACCTAGCACATTTGTCTCCAAAGAGGCCCCAGGTAGCTGTCTGAGAACAGCTTGCAGGTAGGTGGGTGTGCAAAATTCTAGTCTAGGTCTCTCTCCCCCTCGTATCAGACTCACCTTCCCTCATATGAAAAAGTGTATGCCTGATGGGGAACTTGGGCATAAATCGGAAGATGAGTTATTGCAGTCCTGGTAGGATCTGAACATGGGGTGGGTAGGTGGCGCGGATCACTTAGTTATTGTATTAGTCTTAAAGTCCCCATAGAGCTACCCCTGTCCTTCTTCTCAGGCTTTGTCCTAGTGGGGTTAAGCCAATGCATATTTGATTTAGAGAAAGTGCCTTAGGACTGACCCGGGATCTGCCAACAGGTTCAATTTAGCAAAGTGAAAGTTCTCTCCCAGGTTAAAGTAAAGCTCTGACAGCTTTCCAGGACTTGGCGGCACAGGACGCCGGGCTGGAGGCCTGCGCCTTTAAGGAGCAGGGG